ATATATATATATATATATATATATATATACACACACACACACACACACACTTGACGTTTTTCCCAGAAAACGTATTTAAAGGAAATGTGATTTAAATGCCATGTCATATATGCCTCATCTTTTAGTATATGCATTATCATAATTATGCATACTGTTGTATGGTGCTGTGGAGGCCCAGGTAAGCTACAGGTGAGTACATTATGCTGATAATGGTTATGAGATATGATGATGAGGATGTTGAGATGTATTTTAGAGCTCATAATCTGCACCCCGGTGTTAGTGCTTCCGCCCAGAGTTAGGGGCATAGTCATTCACGTGATGTTCACCTCCCGTATCACACGCTTATCTTGGATCCAAGTTAGGTGCACAGTCCTGTCAAATAGACCACTATAGGTGGTTCCGACTCGTAGGTGACCTGCAATTTATCGCACAGTTTTCACGTGATTGTAGCATTAGAGCGTACTATTATTTTACACCCAGTCTTGTCGGTCAGACACGTGATGTGGTTCCGACTCGTGTGTAGTTATGTATATACATGATGAGGTATAATGAAATATGTGACGTATATACATGATGATTTATATGATGAGATATGAGATTGATGTTGTGATTGAGATGAGCTCTAGATTCTGCCGTATAGATCACGTCAGGTGACTTTGGCTAGCAGATGGTTATTGTGAATTGCATCACTTGGATTACTTTTGGTATTTTTATGTTATTGGGCATGGCATACGCATGGCATATATTTATACAAATATGAATCTTGATTTATTGAGCATGATTTGAGATATATACATATTTATGTATTCTATTTTTTTGGGAAAGTATCTATATACTTGTTTTACGGTGAGGGGTTAGTATATTTAAAGGAAAATAAGGTTTTCGTGTAATTGTGTTTTACTGACCCACTCAACTTTGTTTTTCGCCCCTCCAGGTCTTAGGTAGCTGAATTTGGTGGCCACGAGTAATCTAATGGTGTTATGACAGAATCCAAAAAAGTAGGATTCACCTTCGGGTGTTGTATCTTAGTAATTGTCCTATTTGACTGCAACTAGACTTTCTTATTGCTCTGAAAGTGTATTTATACACTTAGACTCTCACTAGCATCCTATCTTAACTAAGATTGCTAGTTGCTTGGTTTTAAATTGTTCGTAATTCCTTACTCTTTATCGCTTTCGCTTTGAGCACAAGGCTATGTCACGTTCACGTGACGGTCAACACGTCTCAACTTCGGTCGGGGTGTGTCAGTTTGGGTAATTGTCACATCCCGGCCCGGGTTCACCATATCCTGGGCCCGTTCCACTACCGTAGCACGATATTGTCCGCTTTGAGCTTACCATTCCCTCATGATTTTGTTTTTGGGAACTCATGAGCAACTTCCCAGTAGTGCTCTGGCCTCATTCTCGCTTAACTTCGGAGTTCCTACGGAATCCGAAGTCAGTGAGCTCCCAAAAGGCCTCGTGCTAGGTAGGGATAAGAATATACATTTAAGGATCACTTCCCTGGGCAATGTGGGATGTTACAATCCACCCACCTTAAGGGCCCGACGTCCTCGTTGACACACTTTCGGCCAGGGATTGGCTCTGATACCATTTGTCATATCCTGGCTTGGGTCCACCACATCCCGGGCCCGTTCCACCATTGTAGCACGATATTGTTCGCTTTGGGCTTACCATTCCTCACAGTTTTGTTTTTGGGAACTCACGAGAAACTTCCCAGTGGGTCACCCATTTTGGGAGTGCTCTGGCCTCATTCTCGCTTAACTTTGGAGTTCTTACGGAACCCAAAGCCAGTGAGCTCCCAAAAGGCATCGTGCTAGGTAGGGATGAGAATATACATTTAAGGATCACTCCCCTGGACGATGTGGGATGTTACAAATATATACAATATATTCCATATTAAATATATAGTTTTGTATTATTATTCTATATAAGTTTAAAAAAAAAGTTTTAGTCATTATTTATTTTTATTATGAGAGTTCCTTATTATCATTACTAGGATAAATTTTACTTAACATGTTGTCCAAAATTAAAATAAACTAATATAGTATTTGTATAGGCAAGAACTAAGAAGACATACATACAAGTATGAAAAATGTGAAAGAATATATAAACACTCGTGATTCATCATTATTCCCCCACGAGTAGATAATGGTTACACTTACATTATTGTTTAGATTTTTAAAATCCTCCAAACCTTCATGAATAATGTTTTTTATTTGAGGGCAAAATTAATAAAAATTATTGTAAAAGTGTAAAAAATGTAAAAAAATATATACAATCACTCATAGTGACAAACTTTACAACTTTCATGAAGGGGTCAGCTTCGAAATCCAACACTATAATTCATAAACCTTAAATTTATATTTAACCGTCGATTGCCATTTACGCTTTAATCTTCTTATTAAATTTCATTTTTAAAATTTTCTTTTTTGAAAACATGATCATATGGCGGATGTAAGAAGATGAACGGTTCAGATCTTTGATATCATGTTTCGATATTTACAGTTAACTGAAATATGAGTTGATGTCATATAGTTTGTAGAAACTTTATAAACATTAAGCAATATTTTCACTCACTCTGAATATAATATCAACGATCCAAACTGTTCATCTTCCTACATCCTTTAATAGATCAAGTTTTCAAAAATGAAAATATGAAAAATCAAAATTTGATGAGAACAATGAAGCATAAATGTAAACATCAATCAATGGTTAAATTTTGATCTATGATTTATATGATTATAGTGGCGAATTTTGAAGTTAAGCTCTTCATGAAAGTTGTAAAGCTTGTCATTACGAGCGTTTATATATTTTTTCTATATTTTTTTACACTTCTACATTAATTAAAAAACTATTAAAGACTCTAGGTAAGTGAAAATATACTTAAAAAGAAAAATGCGTTTTTATGTTTTGGATGTGACAATATGGTATGTATATACTTATTTAGTATTATGTTTTTCATTTGATTATTTATTGGTTTAAAATATATTTTCCTTAACGGGTAACGGGTCGGGTTATATTACCTATTAATATTATCGGGTCGGGTCATTTTACCAGTTTATTTTAACGGGTGTTACACGACATGACCCGTTAAGATATTGGGTATGACATGAAAACGACACGAATACGGAAAACACGACACGAATGCCAGGTCTAATCCCACTGCATTTTTTTTTTATTTTGGATTTCCTGGGTTTTTTGGGTTTCTGAGTTTTTTAAGTTCGAATTTTGGGATTTTCTGGGTTATCTGGATTCGAATTTTGGGAGTTGGTTTTGGTTTTGAATAGGGAACCGCTGCAAATTTTTTGCATTTTTTTTTTAATTTTGCGGGATTTGGGTTTGAAAAGGGTTATGGGACATGAGATAGAAGCAGATGGAAGGAACGAAGCAGGGAGGGGTGAGGCGAGCAAATTTGGCTTAGCAGTCCGGCCAATTTGGGGGGGCCTCGCTAAGACCCTTCAACGAAGCTTTTAGTCCGACTTAGTCTAGGTGAGTCTCATTAAACGTAGTCCTGGCGTGAAACAAACACGGGACTAAGCCAAGGTGTAATCTAGTCTAGTCCAAGGAAGTTTAGTGAAGCCAAACAAACGGCCCCTTAATGTCCTCATCAGTCTTTTTGCAAATGGACAAATTTGTAATTAAAAAACTTCATTAAAAGGTAGGTGGGAAGATAAGATATTGGGGTGGGAATAACATCACTCTATTTTTTTATGCTAAATAAATTGATACTTATGATCATCGTAGTTTTTATATATAAGCTCAATCTGTCATAATTTTATTGGACATTTTCGCACTCTAAAAAAAAAAAAAAAAAAAAAAACCCCTCAAAAGTCAAAACAAAACTCAATACTCAAAACTGAAATACTATAATTACAATAACCATTAAAGCAAAATTTGACATTAAGAGTGCGAATTATTAGACCATAAATTAATGGAGAGAGAAGGAGCCGATGAAAAGGTCAAGTCACCATGTCTGTCCCTGGTTGTGTTTTAAATTTTTTATCCCTGTAGAACAGTAGAAGGCAAAATATAAAATCATAGTGGTGGGCAGCGACTTTGCATATATACGAATCAACCCAGAAAAATATGAAGACTTTGGAAATCCAAATCCGTTTTCCCGGTACGGTCTAATTTCACATGCATATCAAATCAGTTTTTCCAATTTCAGAAATCCAAATCCATCCAGAAACAATCAAACAAACCCCCATTTTGACAAACCCTAAAAACTAACCCGAAAAAATAGAAATAAAACCTTGGATTTTGAATACAAATCTTAATTCGAAAGTAATTCAAAACAAAACCCTAGATTTTGAAACAAATACCTCGATTTTGGGGCTTCAGAGTCGCTCGATCGAGAAGGAGAGAAAATCTCGATCGAGCGACTTAGAGAGAGATATGGTAGGCTATAAGAGACTGAAACCCTAAGTTAGATGGGACAGTTGAGATTAAATCTCAAGCAATCCAACAGTCCACATAATTCCTAAACCCTAATTTAAAATTAAAGTACAATATGTTTCGTTTAGGTTAGGGATTACCAAATGAATGCATATGTTAGACGAAGCACGTATTGAGCTGTTTGGAATCGGTTCGGTTTTAAGTTGGGACTTTTTTTGGTTAAGTTTCCATAGTGAATTGATAAGGTTTGAGATTTTCGGTATTTATTTCCACCCTTGATTGTGAAAATTTAAGTGCCACCTATCTTGCAACTAATCCAATCCATCATGCTCACGTCACATCGAACTTGATTAGGGGTGGGCAAACGGGTACAGGAACCGCGGGTCGGGGCGGGTAATAGAGGTTCGGGGCGGGTACGGGCCGGTTCCTAATTTTGTAAAACAGAAACGGGGCGGGGCGGGGCGGGCCGTCGACATTTTCAGTTCGGGCCGATTCCAAAAGTATAGAGAAACGGGTACCCAAACCGGCCTGTTTGTAATTAGAATGGACAGACGAGATTGAAGATCATCTCTCTGCCCAATCTTAACCGTTCGTTTTAGGTTTCCTCATTTCGAATTCAACTCTGTCTCTCACTCTCTCTCGCCGTCCGTCTGTGAATCGTCCCCTCCCCTCCACCACCCCGACATCAGGACGGTCCTGGCGACCACCACGACAGCCCAGCAACTTCAACGGCATCCCAGACTTACAGAACCCAGTCACCCCACCGCACCACCCATCTTCTCGATTTGTCACCTCTCTCAATCAACCTTTGTGTATATAATTGATCTGTATTTCGAGTGCTCTGGTTTATTTCGGGTTTTAAATTCCTAAATATTATGTGGGTCGAGTTTGATTTAGTTGTTTTTCTGCATTTCGAGTTCTCTGATTTTGAATCACCTGTTGTGTTTTTAGGTCAATTTTATGTGATTAGTGCCAGCATTTTTTAAGGATCTGAATCTGGTACTCAGTCTCCGTCTCACAGGTAAAAACTAAAAACCAAACCCCCATTTTCTTCTCTGCTTTATCAAATTTTGTTTTAAAATCAATTGAATCTTGGCATTACTTCATCTGTTTTTTAAGCATGACTTCATCTTGCCCTTTGGGTGTGAGATAGGCTGCGTGAGTCTATCTGTGTAGTAAGTGACCAATCTACAACATTCATAAATTACACTATGTTATACTAGACATTGGCAGGGTTTCCTTTGTCCCTGGTTATTTGCAGGAAGGTACTTTCCATAATCATAACATGCATTTACTTTAAGGTTGCAGGAAGGTCCTTATATTATTCATGAGCACTAGTCACGACTCTTCTTTATGGTTTTACCCTAAGGTTGCTTGACAGTGATGCTTTTATTTCCTTGGATGAATAACAGCGAAGGCTTCTTCGTATAGTGCATTTGTTAATTTCTAGCCAATTCATCAAATAGCAGATTATTCATAGTTCATTTTAGTTTCGCTCCAGATTGTATGGCGTCAACTTGAAAAACTGCTGTGTTTTTTGAGAAGCTTACAATTTACTGTGTTATCTTGCGTAAGATTTACAACCAGAATGTTGTAAAGTGTCTCTGTCAAGTTGGTATTAGTGTAAAACTACCTCAGATGCTTTCATTGATAAGGGAATATTACACCGTTAAACGATCTGCACACAGGGCCTTCAGGCTTGGTTTAATATAGAAGCCTGGCCTTGAGCATCATCTGCATTCTTCATAATCTCTTAATTATGTGTATATTAACTATAATAATAATAATAAGCTTAATACTTATTAGCACCCTAGCCATGTCCCCATCTGCTAGGATACCCTCCTTCCTCCAACTTCTGGATCATTCATGTTATATACATATAGGATACCCGTGCTGCTTTCTCACCTCAAGCAACTCAGGATTTAATTTATTGCAGAAATCTGTTTATAGTTGCTGGATGTGTCGCATGAGTTCATTGCATAGGTGTTGACCCAACTACCATTGCAACAAATTTTGTTAGCATCCTTTTGTTTCTGTCATGCATAGCATCTTGCTTAGGCTTTTATCTTTATTCTACTGAGTAGAATCTTAAATAGCATTTCATTTTCGTAGCTGACAGTGACCACTCTCTGAAATAGCATTTCAATGATTCAATTTCAATGAGGATAATATGATGTTGGACGTTAAAATTGTCATGTTTATATTCTATTTTTGCGTACAGATTCAATGAGGATTGTTGTTGGAACTTGGGCGTTGGATGTGGTTTTGAATGTTAATTTGAAATTTATTGCGGATGTCATGTTTATGTTGTTTTGGATTATTTGATTCTTGGAATTTGGATGCCTTGGACTTTCGAATATTTTGTATGTTGATTTGATTTTTAGATGTTGGACAATGTAATATTGTTATTTTGGATGTATTGTTAATTTATGAACTTGGATGTTGGACTTTGTATTTAGATTGGATGTGAATAATGGTGAATTTGTGCAAAATCAGCATAAATGCAGTCTGTGACTCCGTGAAGTTGCAATATGTGCAAATCTGTGCAGTTTGCAATCTGTACAAATTTGATTATTATTTTTTTTTTCAAAAAAAAGGGGACCCGTGGACCCGGTTTGAACTGGCCCGTTTCAACCGGGCCGGGTAAGGTCCGGTTCCTATATTAGAAAATGCAATCCCTGGCTCGGCCCGGCCCGTTTCCTTTAAACCTAGGTCCGGTCCGGTCCCTTCAAAATTGGGCCCGGCCCGGCCTGTGCCCAACCCTAAACTTGATTATCATTTTGTCTGTGAAAAACTTGCTAATGGTGTCATCATGTTTGTTATATTCCATGTGTTGATCAACCGGCTGATCTTCTCATCAAAGCTCTTTATCAACATCGTCATGAACTCCTCTGCTCCAAACTTGTATGACCAGACTCCTCCAATTTGCAAGGGTGTTAGAATAGACTTAATAATCCGGAATCCTCTTCGTAATTGTAGCATGTATTATAGGTTGTAATTTCCAATTGTAATTAGTATAAAATTCGTACCTCAGTAGAATTAATATAGGGAACTTTAACGAAAAGATCTCGGTACTGTTCACTTTAATGAAAAATTGCATTTTACACTAAAAAGTCAATCCTGGTACTATTCACTTTACCCTTTATTTTGTTATTTTCATTAAAACTTAAAATTTTCAGCTATTTTCATTAATTTTCTTATTAATATAATCCTTATATATTATAATATTTTTTGCACATGTACATGGAGTGATAATTCTACACCCCATAAAGAGAACACAAGCATTAGCCGTTTATTAGTAAGACATACGAGTTCGCTTACCAAGAATAAAGCTCCAGTCAAAGCACCCTAACTTTTCTGCAGCCTGAACATCATGACATTTAGTTAATCCCAAGGGCCATAAGACAGCGAATTCAATTCTGTGTTGATTAAAACAGCTTCCGAACCTTTGAATCTTGCACTTTGATCCCACATCTTGAATAGATATCAAATCCATGACCGTCAAATCTTATTCATGATAGAAACATCTTCCAAACTCTAAGGCCCCATATTTCATTTATAGCAAAAATCAAATCTCATCACATGATTTCTAGCCCATTCATTTGATCATGATAATAATTTTGGCGCATTAGCTCGAATGCCAAACTTATTTATCTGAACGCGGCAGGTGTAAGAGGTAACTTTAGTTTAAGGTAAGTTTGAAGATATCAATATTCCATGATACGAGTATACTATTAAGGTAACGTTTTGTATCTATAATAACGTCACGTGAAGATAGTCGTGTATGAATAATATATAACGTCCTAATGGTGATGTATCCGTACCACATAACTATATTTTATTTTCAGGCCTCATTTGGTATGAAGAATAGGATTGGAATAGATAAACAACTATTCTTAAGATATGTTAAAAGAATAATTCCATTTTGTGGCTAAGTTAAAGGTAGGAGATGAATTACTCAAGAAGCAAAAAGTAGTTCATTCCAATCCTCCCCAAAATGGGAGATTAGAAGGGAGAAATTTTTTCACGTATGGTCCTCTTGTAATCCTCTTGAAATGAAAAATTCTACCTTTAAAATACTTTAGAATTTAGAGAGTTACTCATTGTAATCTAATCCTCTATACTAAACAAGACTTCAGAGTTTTTGATCGTAGGGGATGCTTTTAAACTCCGCAGACAAACGAGTATTATTAGCGGTCGCTTTCCCAAAATTGGATGGTATTGCCTACTTTCTATCTACGTGTTCCTTTTGCAGGTGCTGTATAATTAGGGTATAAAAATCCGTAGGCATCACAAAAGAAGATATTACATGGTCCTTTTTGTCTACTGAAGAGTCTTTTCAACCTTTTATATTTCTCAACTCTATCCCTTGCTTAACTAACTTAATTTGTATAAAAAACCATTCTCCTAATTTTTTTATATTTTAGTAAAAGATGGCGTTGCAGCAATATTTTCGATTGCTTTCACCATACTAGCCTTCATGCACGTGTAAAATATATTTTTTGAATCAAGGCATGCTACGCACAATTTACATATTTTAAATGCATTTATATGCGTGAATTGCTTCAATATCTTTTTTTTTATGACAAAAAGAAAGTCAAATATTTGGACTAAATGAATAATATTAGACCATGCTAGAAGAAACTTCTCATAAATCAATCAAAGCAGCTGAATCTATATAATAAAATCGGTATTTCAAATTTTATCGACATTCTATTAAATTTACATTTAAAATATAGAAAATAATATTTAATAAACAAATGATTGAATCACATTATTGTTATCTCATGGTGAGGCTAAGACCACCCCCTTCCTTTAATGTAGATAATATCGTTTGTTCAAAAAAAAAAAACAATAATTCGACAACTAATTGAATCATATTTTTATGAGCGTGTGAAAGACTTTTTTTAACTAGCACTACGCGTATCTTAAGATGCTTTGAACGTGTTTAAAAATAGAGAAAATAATATTTGATAACAACTGATTGAATCAAATTATTATTAGTCCATTGTGAGGTACTAATTATAAAAAATTAAAAAAAAGTAAAAAAAAATTGTACAAAAAAAAATTAATTATAAAAAAACACTGTTTATATGACAAAAATACCCCTGCATTATTTGATACATTATTTTAGGCTGCTTTTCAATTTTTTTTTTTGAATTTTATTTGGGAGCATTTTTTTTCCTAATTTTTTTGGTGAAGCCATGACCCCAAAATGGGGCTGCTGGCTTTACATATAAAGATATAGCAATAGTTTATTTATTTTTCTTTCCTTTTTCTATTTTCTTGGCTTGGCATACAAAAACAGAACACTGCGGCACTTGTAGTCTCTGCCTTCGTAAAGTTTAACATATTATGTGCCGATTTGCATAATTTAGTATCTTTATATCCTTTTCATTTACTTCATCTTATTCTTGTATCGATGAACTGGACAATATATATATGATTAATCATTTTTTTTACGTGGACTATCCAGTCTACTGTGAACTCAATTGGTTATCTGTAGTCTTCAAAGTATACCCTCATACAGATATGTTAGTTGGAATTGGATATTCGATATGTCACGTCTAGAAGACTAGAAAAACATGGAGATCCAAGATTGATCAAGGCCACCTACAAAAATAATTTTGTTACCGAGAGAGAGAGAGAGAGAGAGAGAGAGAGAGAGAGAGAGTTGATTCAAATGCGAACCTGTATATAGTCAAAAGTCAACCAAGTCGGATGATTGCAACCATAATTAAATGTGAGGTTGTGATCACGAAATATTTCACACCAAAAATTGAAGAAATTTTGCCAAAGTTAGTAAGAAATTGCAACATTCTGCTTATTACTAATAAATTTAGAATAAAACCTTAACTTTTATCATAGTATAAAAAACGTTTGAAACCCCTCAAGTTCCATCCTTAAACTCTGCAATCTCTTTCCCTATATGTTGGTGAATAGATATTTTGTTACTCTGGGAAAATGACAATATTCCATAACTGGGAAGTGCGTGAGATCAATCACATTAGGCTTTTTTTGTGTGGAGGTTAAAAGGTCGAAAAACCACAATTATGTTTCCATATCTAGTGGTGGAATGTTATTGGAGTCAGCTCAAAGTGTTCTAATGCACATATTCCACCAATCAAATATCTCTCTCTGCCAACCTTAGGGTTTCCCATAGAAGACATTTTTTTTTAATTTTGTTTTCTCAAATAGGTTTCCGAGAAGATATTTTCTTTCCGTATTGTTTTCTCCAATATTGGAAGGTTGGCCAGCTTTGACTTGGTGAGCTGATTGAGCTGAAGGTGACAAGCATTTGACAATATGCAGACAGCCGCATGTACATAAAAACTTCTGAAAGTGCAAATTAGCCCCATGGTCTTCCATAAAATCATTAGCCTTTGACACATTATTCAGATATTTAACAACCTTTCCATTTCTTTCCCCATTTCGATCATTAAAAAAAAAAAAAAATCCAAGGGTTTTTATTAGAGAAGGTGACAGTTTAGTATTTCAAGTTTTACCATTAACTTATGCAAATATGATATGGATTGGCCCCCAGTCCAACGAAAGAATACAAAAATTTTAACTGTTTGGTTTGTAGGGTTTATCATAACATTTTTATTTGGTGTTCCCCTAGAGTGCATATATATATATGTATGTGATGTGGAAACGACGAAAATAGGGAAGAGGAGGACAAAAATGGTACTCAATTAGTGACATGAATCGTGGAGTTCGTGGAAGGGCCACCAAATGAAGTCGATTTGGAGGAGAAGTCACTTCAATTGTATAATAAACGACAATAGGCACGGACTGAAAGTTGAACGAATATTGTCATTTCCCTAACCCTAATTTATTTTGATCGATCGGAATCCCATCCCTAATTTGGTGCACAGAGAGATACCTAAAGTACCTAATGCCGACGCGATTTTTGACAATCATAAACGTCTCTGTTCTTTGTTTTCTTTCTCTTCATAATATATTAACATGTAACACTAAGTAAAGATCACAATTAGTTTTAGCGGGTAATTGTATTGTGCTATTTTCGTATGTATCAAGTATAAATCTATCTCGCCATATTATAGTTGTACAAATTTTTTGAAACATGTTATCTTTTAAACTTTATTTGCTCCTGTAGGATTTATCTTATGAGATAAATAAATATCAAAGGATATTCCACCCACATGAGGATATTAACCTCCTAATTATCTATGTGATAATTATATGAAAAGCAAGACATATTCATATTAGAATATACTTGAGATTTTCATGGGCTTTTCAGTCTTTGTACACTCTTCCCAACCACTATATAGGGATGCTTTGGGGAAGAGAGTAAACATAAGAAACACAAGCTTTTCTATAGTTCAAATATTCTAGTTAGGTCTTTAGAGCTATCGCTTTCGGCTCCAGGTCTTGGGAGGTGAAAAGCAAGGGGCAACTCGACATACCGTAGCCAACCCGACGACCTACAAGGTTCTAGACATGCACAGAG